ACTAGAGAAGTCAGATCTCAATGTCTGCTTAAAGGCTGGGTCAGGTTCAGTATCCAGCCCTGGCTCTTTTCTTTGCAGCACCAAAAGCAAAGTGCTACATATAGAGAATAAGGGCTCCCTAGACACCCACACAAGTGCTCCCCATTTCCCTAAGTGTCACCCCTCTTGACTCCTTTCCCTAAATGTCCACCCTGAGGAAGATGACAAAACCAACACAAAACCTCTGACCACTCAGCATCTTGTTCTGGGCAGATTCAGACTATGACCTTGGGGAGCAGAGTCCTCCTGAGTGTATCTGCCCACACCTTCACAGTGCCCATGTCTGGTGACCTGCATTGCAGCCTGGGGTACAGAAGACAGTGGACCCAGAAAAGCCTTGTTCTCCATTCTGACTTCATCCAGGAGAAGGAAGGAGCTACAATTAGCTCCTCAGGCCTAATGAATGCGTGAGGGAGCAGGGAGGAGGGGAGGCCTTCCATTACCTCAAAGACAAGCTCTCAGCCACCTGGCCATATAACAAACCCAGAGACTGAGATGGAGACCAGCTTTCTGTGCTGGACCATGTCAAGGGAGCCTCAGTGATCAGGGACCTCTTTAACACTTGGGAAGAGAATATCAACAGGAATCAACAGGACACTATATCCATAGACAAGAATAGCTCTATCCTTGGAGAATCCTAGCTCAGCAGTGACATGAGGTGACTATGCAAGAGACAAGGGGTGAGATGGGTGTGAGTCAGCACTTCCAGCAATGAGCCCCAGGAACAGAAGAAACTCTGCCACTCATCTCCTGAGTCCACAGAAACAAACTGCCCCGTATGCCACTCCACTGTGATGGGGTTAGAGGCTGGGGTGCTGCACATGGCGGTGTAGATACCTTCACACTAGGCAGTTATTACAAGATCACCAAGATCTGGAAGGTCCAGTCTATGTTCCTACTATAGGGGGTGAACATAAGACTGTCTGCATCCATGTACATGGTGATGTTTTTGAGAGGTGTGCATGTTACTAAAGGGTGGTCAACCAGAATCTCTCCTAAAATTGTTCCAACTTTGGTAGACACTCTAGAAACACACAACAGAGACAGGCAGTCACACACAAACACAGAAAAAAAGATAAGTTGTGTGATGATAAGAGAGATGCAAAAATTAGAAATGCAAAAAGAAACAGAGAGGTCAAGAGATGCAGGTAAATAGTGGCAGAGGTGTAGCTAGAAATAGAGACAGAAATGCAATGATAGAGCGAGAGACACAAGGATGCAGAGATAGAAAAAGATGCAGAGAGACACACTGAAAAAATATACAGGAACAAAGAGAGATACAGGAAAAGGGAGAGAGGTGCACTGAGTTATAATAGAAGAGGAGAGACAAAGACCTCACTGAATACCTGGACCCAGTCTCTTCTGAAATCAACTTGACCCCAGGCTTCATTGTAACATGAACAAACTAAACTTTCAATCATTTGGAACCAAGAATATTACTTTTATTGCTGGTTTTACTTTTCCAAAAATAAAAACTGACCTTGATCAATGTGACTTGCCAAGACATCTGAAACATCAGTTTGGTTCTTTGAGACCCCAGGGGCCACTGTACCTGGGCCCAGGTAATTCCTCCATGCTGACGTACACTCTACCCACCAGGCTGGAAGAGAGGCTGGCACAAGGCCACTGCACTGAACATCAATACCAAAGAATCAGGATGAAGGATGATTGAATTGTTCCCTCTGCCCACTTTTATTACAGCTCCCCAAGATGCTCTAGTCTCCCTCAAGGAGCAAAATATGTTCCTTTCATTCTGCAGTGGCTTCCTGCCTCCACCCAGTTAAGAAGGCTCGGGATACAGACAAAAGCTCTGGAGTTAGGTAACGGCTTTAATGTGCTTCTCTTGGACAGTGGGGGGGTGGAGGTAGGGAGAAAACAAAAAGAAAATGACTTGGGGCCTTAAGTAGACTCAGCTGGGAGCCCACAGGACAGACTCCAAGGTCACAGCCATGGCCTCAAGGGTGGGGGGCGGGGGGAGCACAGGAGATGACTGGCCAGGTCTGATCTCAGAGGGAGCAGGCTCACAGGTAGCTGGGAAATCTGCGCGAGGACAACAAGCAGGCATTTCAGAGGAAACACAGCAGATCCCAGTCAAAGTACACCCTCAGGAGTCAGCGCAGGAGCCCTGTAGAAGAGAGAGTGATCAGCACCTGGCACCTGGGGACGTACCCTGTGCCCTCCTCTCCAGGCCCTGCAGCATCAGGTAAAGCTGAGGTCTGGGCATAAGGTTGTCCCCTCCCCCAGAGTCTGTATCGGGGTGAAATCAGCTAAAGAGGACACGCACTTCAGCTCCACCCAGACATGCAGGAGGCGGGGGAACAGCTGTTATCCTTGGGGGATATGACCATTTCAATCTTTTAAGCAAATTTAATGATGACTAACCTTCCTTCCACCACTAGGACTCACTTATAAATGCCCACAGACAGGAGCCACCAGCATGTGGCACAGAGTGGGCATCATACCCGTGCCTACCACCCAAGACGTGGCTCTGACTCCACATTTCACAGGAAGATTCACCAAAGTTAAGCCCTGGTTCTGGATAACAAGCCCGGAGCTTCCTTTAGAAACTGGGTGAGCTTCTCTCCTAACCCTTGATCCCCTGGCAGGGAATAGCCATGAACCATGCCCTTTGTGACAGGGAACAGTCACCTCACACCCCCGCCCTCCCTCTTTTTTCTGTCCTCAAACCAGATCCCTCCCCCTCAATCCCACCCCATTAAATCAGAGCAGAGACAGTACCTGGGGCGGCGGCCCATGAGAACCTACAAAAGGACTTTACACAGAGAAAGGTCTCATCACACAGCCAGTCCCTCTCCCACCCACAGGAAATGACATAAGCAACTTAACTGAAAATCTATTTCCTCCCTACCCATCAGCCACAAAGCCTTACCTCTAAGCTACAATCTCCCAAATGAGTGGACCTGTCACTAGAAGGAAGGGAAACCAATGCGCTGACCTTCTTAAAGAAGCAGCTTTTGGAAAGGGGCCAGTGAGGCAGTGATGAGCTCTCAGCCCCAGGACACTCGCCACAGTCACGCCTGTGGCAGGGGCGGCCTTTCAACCAGTAAAATCCAGTCCAAAGCCTGGCCTAGCTGTCTGTCTCCCACCACCACCAGCCCGGCTGCCTGCCTTCCAGGTCAGGAGGAGAGTTACACCTACAAGCAGAGGCTCCCTCAACAGAGGGTCCTGGGCACAGCCCATCCTCCCGTTTCCCCAATTGCTTACCCTTCTGTTTCCTGTGACGGATGACAAGGCCCAGGCCCAGGAAGATCAGCCCCAGCACGAAGCCCCCGACGCCGCTCAGCATCTTGCTCTGGGCGGATCCAGACTGTGCCCCTGGGGAGCAGAGCCTGGGTGTCAGCTTCTGTCCCCAAACCCACAGGGGCCCTTTGGAAGCCTCCATCCCGAGCGGGGACCAGCCAATAAACCCTTGGACACCATGGGTGGGTGACAGGGGGAAGTGAATCCTGCTCCTTCACATGCATCTTTAGCCTTGGACCCCAAGCCCCGTCACCAGCTGCCACAGTCAGCCCTCAGAGCCCTCAGGATGGGTTCTGGCTGTGGTGTAGAGTGACCTCCCTAGTGTCTGAAAACACAATGAGATCTGATGCCTCTGCCATGGCACCAGTGGGCTCTAGTGTCCTATGATGTCCAGCTCAATAGTGACATCAGCGATAGGAATGTTATGGGATGGCCAGGGGCAGCTGTTTGCCCTCTGTCTGTGGGGCCCAGGATTCAGGATAGAAACTGCCCCTTACGCCACTCCACTGCGATGGGGCTCTGGAGGCTGGGGTGCTCCACGCGGCAGGTGTAGACGTCTCCTCGCTGGGGGGTCATTTCCAGCATCACCAGGATCTGGTAGGTCCAGTCCCCATTCCTAATCAGGGGGGTGGACACGACGCCGGCTGTCTCCTCCTGGTTGTTCCGGAACCAGCGGACTTTGATGTGGGCTGGATAGAAATCCGTCACCGAGCAGACCAGCATGTTGTGGTGGGCTAGGGCCTCTGTCTTGGCTGGGGAGATGGTCACTGTAGGCTCCACTGGGAGGGGAGGGGTGACAGAGAGGAAAATAGAGAGTGAGATGTGGGGCACAGGCAAGTCTCCCACGGAGATGGTCCTCCCTGAACCAGTGGGAACGATCCCTGGTTCCGAGCCCGGGATGAGGACCTGAGCTGGGCCACTTGATTAGCTCGAGTAAACATGTGAGTCAGCTAACTGTTCAGGGTCACAAGCTAACAGCAATCATTTTAAGAGAGTTATTCCATTGATACCAATTGATAAAAATGAAGCCCTTTAAATGTTTAAATTGCTGTTATACAGGCCATTATTCACAATGTAAATACAGATGATAAACCTGGACATCTTTTCCCTCCACCTACTGACTGTGACCATGGAGATTAGCTTAGTGATTCACACCAGGGCAGTGACCCTGTTTCCTGTTGGTCCCGCAGCTCCTCACAGTGGAGGAAAGTACCTCAGTTTGAGTCTCCTGGGGGACCATCAGCACTGGTCACGGCTCCATGAACAGTAACACGGACTGAGAATTAGGAACCTTACAGACAGTTCCATGTCCAACAGAGCAGGACAGCAGTGACCATCACATCCTTCCTCCGAAGCAATGCTCTCAAACAGGCTCTTCCCCACCATTGTCAGCGGGAAACACGGACAGGATTTAAGGGCAGGAGCACTTCTCAGGTGTCACCCATCAACAAACCCCTCTCAGCTGTTAGCCTAACCCAGCTCAGAAGCCATTCTGTGGCAAACTCCCATTAAATTGTATTATCTATAATAATAAAAGTATAATATGCTAATTAGACCAGACAGCCCAACAAACTTCCTGACAAAGCTGGGGCTGCGAGGACGAAGCCCCTCGCATGAATTTTGTGCATCGGGCCTCTAGCTAAATAATAAACTTCATGTCCATATCATCTATGCCATTTACTGATTTATTAGTCATTCATTCAACAAATATAAATTCTATAAGCATTAGCAATCTATATACATTTATCCTATCTAATAATAGACAAAGACTCAAATTGACCGTACCTTTGCTATGCCCACCATGGGCTAATCAGAGCAATATGCAAATTAACTGCCAACAAAGATGGCGGTTAATTTGCATACGTAGGGGTGAAGCAGAGGAGCGAAGACTAAAGGCAGCTCTGGCCAGAGCAGCGAGGGCTTGAAGGCGGCTCCGGCCAGAGCGAAGGCCTGGGTCCTGGGCACTGGAGGAAAACCGGTGCCGGCAGTCAGGGGAAGGGAAGGCCTATTGCATGAATCTTTTCGTGCAACAGGCCTCTAGTATATAGATAAAACCCTAATATGCAAATAGACCAAATGGCAGAACAACCAAACAACTGGTCTCTATGATGTATGCTGACCACCAGGGGCCGCATGTGGAACATGGTGGCATTGGCCATGGCGGGATGGTGGAGCAGGTGAGCCGGGGTGCCAGACCAAGGCTGTCAGTCACTGTCAGCAGGGAGAGCCTCTGGTGGTTACTGAAAATTCTTTGCTCCCATGCACCATGGTCCCACTGGGCACTCACACCTGCTGCTGGCACCAGAGCCACTGCTTGCACCCATTGCTGGTGCCCGGCACAGGCCCCGATCACTCGGTGCTGTCAGTAGGTGCGAGCAGAAGTCGTTCTGGCCCCAATCACCCCTCGGGGATTCTTCATCTCTC